AGCCCTGGGCGGGGAGAGAAGAAGCAGTCGGGGTCAGAGAGGATGTCAGGGTGTGTGTGTGCCTCTGCCTGAGCTGTGAGCAAACCACAGCAGCCCGAGAAGAAAATCTTTTAGATAACTTGCAATAAACTGCCTTGAGACTGAAAAACAAGAGACTGCTGAGCCTTTCTTTGGAAGCTCGGGTTGGAGGAGAGACTTTTCCACCACACGGAGCCACCCCTGAACTAGGGTGGTCTTGGACACCACATCTTCCAGAGGCTCAGCCTGATGCACTTGGTGTTTCCAAAAACAGAAACGCTGGCTCAAAGTGCCAGAGGGAAGAAAAACTATAGTATTTCCCCTCTATTAATCTCGCAGTGATGAAGAACTATCAAGCAGTGTCAACACCTCACGAAGATGTCAGCTGAGTTCCTGCAATGACTTGAATGAGAATGAAATACTGGCAGTAAGCAACAGATGCCTTTGTCTCTTCTCAGATTGTCTTTAGTGTGAATTTTAACCTCAAGTAATCTGAAACTTCAATGAAACTTAAAAATAAAAAATGTTACCTAAGACTTGTCCCTTGTTATGTCTTTCAGAACCACTGTCACAAAATACTTGCATGACAACCTAAAGTAGGAAAGGAAATAATGGATGTAATCAGTCAGACTGCTTTCTCCAAATTTTGTTAACACTCGGGGTTTCTGTGAAACAAGGAAAGATAGGATGCAATAACACATGCAAAAGCCTTACCTGTCACATACAAGTCCTTTCTCTGACCTTCATGGCACACTAGCATAAAAAAACTGGGGACCAGAATTTTCTTAAGGATTTTTTGTTTAAAAAATGTGACTTTTCTTCATAGAATGAGCAAATCAAGTACAAGCATTGCCAGGAAAGCTTGCAGCCCAGCTGAACTGTACATTTGAATCTCACCAGTTTCCTTGCCCTTTTATTTAAATGCTGAGGAGGAAATCCTGCTGCAGAAAAAGGCTTTGCAACCCCCATTGCTCCGGGTGAGCATCCTCAGGGCTTCTTTATCCACTCTCTCTGAGATCAGGCAAACAGCACATCAGAATTTTGGTACTGCCGAGTCTGGAGCTTGGAGTCGTGGCACCAGGACTGCTATGGGATGATTTCTGACATAATAATATGACAGACAAATATGAAGTAAAAAGTTAAAAACATTTTGGGCAATAGCTAAAGTAGAACCATTTCAAATGCATGAGACTCCTGCCATCCCAAGGAACCTCTGGTGCACTCTGAGCCTGGGCTCATATTCTCTACACATATCACCAAGTGCAGCACTTGGATGGCTGACATTTGAGCAGGGATACCTCAGCCTATTTGCTACAGGATCTGTCCCCTAGAATCAGCCCTCAAGTATTACAAGAAACCAAAACTAACCAATCAAAACAAAACCCAACAAAAACCCAACAAACAAACTAACTAACTAAACCAAAATGTTACTGGAACTCTTACAGAGGCAGTTGAATTACTATTAATATAGATTATTATATTCTAATATAGATTATAATATTAATGTAAGTATATAAATATAGAAATATTTCTATACCTTTTTGCATAAATAGATTTAATTGCCAGCAGTGGCAAAATCTGTCCTGCTCTATTGCTTGATCCTTCATATCTTTATCTACTCCACATCAAGTTTAGTGGAAGTGTGATGCAGATAACAGATTTTCTGAAGTCATTGTGTCATGATTTACTGCCACCCCTGAGCATTCCTTAGCTCCTTAGATGATCACCATCTCCAGATGAGATTGCCACACCCACATTCCCTGCACATCCCACACCTACAGCTGCAGCCCATGCTCCAGCAAACAGCAGCCACTGGAACAGGAGCTAAATACAAATTCTCCAGCCTTCTTCATCACCTGGCAAGATATGAACTGGTACCAGAGTCAGGCAAGCACACTGACAACATTTACATGGGATCATATTCCCCATCCAGCCTGTCTCAGATTCCCAGGCTGGTTTGATTACCAGGGACCAGAGGAAAGACAAGGGCAGGATGTGAGACTAGCAGGCTCATAACAGGAATACAGACTCTTGCTTTCTTTCCCTTAGAAGAAAAAGGATTTCCTGGGCTGGATTTTCATCTCCTTCCCCTTTCCATTGAGTGATAGTTATTTGATCATGTGTTATGTCAATAGTTTGGACAAACTGATGTACACCCCTTGGGCAATATTTAGAGGAGGAACATTGGCTAAACTATTACAAACAATTTCATTTTCTTATCAATACTATTTTAACTATGTTAGCTTGCAGGAGTTCTTGATTTTGTTTTGGGTTTTTTTGTGTCAGCATCTGATTGCAAGTCCCTATGAAATGTTCTTGATTAAGTGCCATATATCAGATTATTCAGTCTCTGTACAAACATGGGAAGACCTTGTTACACTCATTAGAGGCCAGCTCATGCTTCCTTATGTGCTGGGATCATTAACAACAGACTGCACTCTGCCAGTTTACAGACAACTCAAACATGGCAGGTATGGTGTAAGAATAGAAAAAAAAATATAAATTCACACAATAATTTTCCATTACCTACTGAGTTTTATGCAACCCCAAATACCTCCAGGAAGGGGCACTTGGTCCATACATTTCTCAGAGCACTGGCCAGCCAGTGTCAGCTCCAGTTCTACACATCACCCTACAGCTGTGCCCATTAACTACCACCCATGAACACCATGAATCCCATCCTTTGGACACTTTTCTGCCAGGAGCATGAAGAGAACTCACTTTCCCCAAACAGCACAAGACAATAATCACTGCTGGAAGCAAATGTAGGAGGGAAAGGTGTTACAGATCATTGGCTGTCTCCTGAGCCACCCCTACGAAGATTTCTTTGTAGGAGGAACAATGGAGGAAACACAGATAAAACCAGTCAGGGAGTGCACTTGCCAGATTAAGAAGATGCAGATATGGACCAGGGCTTTCTCCTTTTACAGGGTGAGTGCAGACTGGTGGAGTTCTGAAAATATCTGCTGGAAAGGACAGAACTATTGATCTGCATTAAAGGTGAGGGCAATGCTAGTGGGAAGGGAAAGGGTGGCTATAAATACAAGAGTAATTACATTTTTTCAGTCCGAAAGGAAAAAGAGAAAATGTCTGTTCCTATTTTACTCAGCAAGTCAAAGACTTTGTGATTTGTAATCAGAACAATAGAGCTAGCTCCTAATCTGCCCAGTTTCTCACTTGCTGTTAGCCTACACCTGATCTGTCAGCAGCAGGGGTGAAAATGATTGATCTGTGACTTTGCTGGCATAATAAATGCCAGTGTACACAGAAGAGGATCACTGGCTACCAGCTTGGGTTATCAAATCATACCAGCTATGGTTCTGACTATAAAGACAGATGTTTTGTTATTTTCTGTCTCCTGATTGGAACCCCTGACTGTCTGCAAGGGGTTGTGAGGAAAATAAGAGGGGCTGTGAGTCTTGGTGAGAGGGAGGGAGGGAGAACAGCACACACACAAGTTTACCATTTGATTTTTTTTGTGCTTTTCATTCCTTTTTTCCTGTAAAGGCTTTCAAGAGCTATGCCTTTCCCTTCTGTGCCTCTGCCACAAGTAATCAACAAGCCTTAAATATAGAGGAATTTGTTTTTCTTTGAGCAACAAAATATTTTCAATCCTAAGGAACAGCCTATATTCTTGTCTGAATCTTCAACAACTTCCCTTCCTTTTCACTGCTTTCCTCCTCTTCCCTTCCATCCTTTCCCTTTCCTGACCCTCCACCTCTTCTGTCTTGGTCTGAAGCCCTTGGAAAAAAAAAAGACTGGACTCCCTTTGAAGGCCATTCTCAGTCAGAAGAACATGCATTTCATCAAGACTCACTGCTGTTCATATTTCCACAAAAGCTTCTAAATGCAATAAAAGCAGCACAAAAAAAGGACACATTTCCTGTTGCTGTTTAAAAGAAGAAAGCAGAAAACAGCTCAGAATTAACACCCTGGTTCCCCTCCCAAGATAAGCATTTTTAAAAAACCCAAAGTATAGCAGCAGTAATAACAGAGAGATGTCATTGTTTCAAACCTTTTCTTTCCCTTGTTCTTTTTAGTCTTTGTTTTGTGTTTTGACAGCTGTGAATAATTCTGCACCCTGGAATTGTTCTGCAGGCTATTAATGTCTGTGACCTTTTGCATCAACAACAGCTCTACTTTCCAGTCATTTCTGGAAGTGCTACCTAATATGAATTTAACATGACTGAGGCAGCCTCCTACACACACAGAGCTCTTTCTGAGACATGCAGGAGTGTGCTTCATCCCATCCATATACCAGACAATTAAATCCCTTCATCAGAGACTTACCTGCCTTGCAAACAGCTGTGTTTCATGGCAACAGGCAACAACCACCCCAAGTTACAACCTCCCCAAGTGCTCCTGGGGAAATAAAAGGAGGTGTGATGATTTCATTATATAAGGAAAATAAGATCTCATTAAGTCTGAGCCATTTTCAGACTTAATGGGGTTCTCCTTTGAGTAGCTCTGCTGCTGCTTTTACTTTTTAAGAGTGTGTAAAGAACCCATATGTGATCAAACGATATCAAGAGCATTCTCCAAATCTGTGATCACATGCCTGCTACATCAAGAGGGCCTCTCATTCTTTTTAGATTAATTTCATCAGACTGGAGTCTAGTTCCCAATAGCACAGCAGTGCTGCAGGAATCTCCTTGCTGGAAACAAGCAGCAGGTGTCCTCTTGAAAAATAAACTAAATGGTAAGCAGACAAGCAGGATGAAAGGGCTCAAAGTACAGATGCTTTTAAAAACACTCTAAAATGTCAAGGTATACCTTTCTTCACTTAGGAGCCAAAGACTGGTCAAAAGAATTGGCAGAAATTTGGTTTCTTTTGGGTTTTTTAAACAGGTTGAATGAATTGCCTCAACAGGTCAAGAATTACCCAGCTTAACTCCTGACTGTGGTTTATGCTTCTTAGAAACCAGTTAAAATCACAGGTGTTGCTTCTCCAGTTAGAATTATGAGTGAGATGCTAAAACAGGCTGCAGAAATGTGCTGGAGTCCAGCAATGCCTAAACCAGACACAACTGTTGTAGAACAGAAAGTACCTGTGTAAGCTTTCCTTGGAAAGTAAGAGATCTAGGAATTCCAACTATGTTCCTTGCCAGCTGCCATCAGACATTAACTTCTCTGACAAAGTTTTTTCTATCTTTTTTTTCTCCTGGTTTAGGCTTCTTATTTTTTCTCCAGTCACACAGACCAATGAGCAGGGCCTTCTGGAAAATTTCCCCTGAAATCCATTTCTCAGGGAAAAATGAGTTTCTGACAAAACAAAACATTTCATGAGATTTGTCTTCCTCATGGTATATATTACTTGTTCCTAAAAATCTGTTCAATTAAATTCTTTTTAGATGAAGCTCTTCACATTCTCTAATGAGGAGCTGACTAGTTTTAAGGCAAATTAAAACCAAAAAAATGTTCTAGCCTGATTTGTGTTTACATTTTCCTTGGAAAAAAAATCCCTCATCACATAGCCATGTAACAAACGGGCTGGCTGATCAGGGAACCACAGTACCAAGGAAAGCAGACATGATGTTCTGGAAAAAAACAAAGCTAAATTGCTCCTTCCTATAATAAAGATTTTTGCAGCTGGGATTAAGGGGCAGGGGGAGGTAACATTATAAATGTAGGGAAACATTTCAGGATTCCTGAGAAATCCTCAGTTTCTGGGAATCAGTGATCCTCTCAGAAACCCGTTTTCCAAAGTGGGCTGTGATTTTTCAGACTGTCTGTATAATACAGTGCACAACGATGAACCAACATCTGGAAACCATTAGAATACAAATTGTGATTAATACTACCAGAACTGTTGTTTTTAAGTGACTCAGCCCCTTCTGATCACCTGCAGCAGGAACGCTTCACTCTGGAGCCAGCGAGTTGAGATGAGCCCAGGGAAGGAGCTGCTGCTCACTGAGGGCTGCTCCAGAGTCCCATTCCAGCTCCTGGGAATGAATAGTGAAGTTATTCAAAGCCCACAATAAAAGGCTGCTCCTCTGTCATGTCAGAGCTGACAGGGAAAGGCCTGGGTGCCTCTGGAGCTGGTACCATGGAAATATCACCCCACCCACAGCCTCAGTGAGCACTGCTTGGGCACAGCAACACGGGCACAGCAGCACATCTGCTGCCTGCATCACACCTGGTTTGAAAAGAGAGGCACAACTCTCTGCTGCTGTATTTGTGAGAATTAACACACTGGACAAAAAGAAAAAAAAAAAAAAGAAGAAATTTAAAAATGCAAATTTGTTTTGCTGTATCCAATATGTTCTTGTCTCTTGTCTAAAAGGCCCATCTGGTCTAAAAACATGCAGCACCTGTGTAAATCTTGATGTATTCATGCTTGAAGTGCTAAATATTTCTTTTGTAAAAATAAGTTATGGATAATAAAGAGAATTTTTTTTATAATATGCTTGCATGTTGATGTACCCCTGACTTTAGTATACCCATATTTGCTGTGTTCTTCAATGAAAAGGTTTTCACACAAAGATGGTCTTGCTGGGCAGAAAAGAGAAAACAAAAAGTTAAAAAATGGACTTACTTTTCATATCTCAGCGATAACTTTCTTTACAACTGGCTAAGCTGAGCTCCTCCAGCACAGCTTTTTCTGATGTAGAAAAACAATATTCTCAATCTTTCTAAAAAAGGCAGCTAAGTCACAGAGCAAAGAAAGAAATTAAATACTGCAGAAGTTATCTACATCTCTGACATACACCAGAAAATCCCAGTTAGTGTTGATGCTACATATGTATGTTTTCTATCCCAAACAAGATCTATGCCCCTTGGATTTTTCAGTGCTGTATTTTAACATCCAAGAAGTGCAGCAGAACATTGCTCTCTAAGATTGCCTTCTAAAATTCAGAATAAAAGAATGGGAAAGAATGAACTGATGGTGTTGAGGTCACTGGCATAACATTCTGGGCTATAGAAACAAACTTCATCCACACCCTAAAGTCTACTATTAGCAGGCACCAGTGCAAACCTGCCCATTTCCTAGCTGGCTGGAAAAAAAACAGCTTATGATTCAATTATCTCTTTTCAAAATACAGCATGAAATGCCACTGTGATAATATGATTTGTGTTTTAAGGTCTCAGAGAACTAGAATAAAATACACTTTGAGTTTTCAATTGCAATTACACTTTGGTTATTGCAATGACTGCATTAAGACGGAGACAAAGTCTGAAATGTGCCAGGGTACACAAAGTTCCTGCCCATGGCTGGCACCAGGCTCAGGCCATTGGAGACCTCAGGACTCTCTACAGAACTTTGCTGTAAGTTGATGTGGTCAGCCAGGAACACACCTGTGTGCTCCCAAGAAAGGATGAGAAGAGCCTTCCCACATGGACTTCCAGCTCTTCTGCTGTTTTCCAGAAGGAGAATCAATTAGTTATTGTTCTGCTCCATTTGTAGCAGAAAAAGTTTTCTGTTTACTCCTCAGGTAATCCTGTGCAAAGTCAAGTCAGCGAAGAGTAGGTGAAAGATCTAGAAAAAAGTTGGAAGGACAAGGGTAAAAATCATCCTTCGCATCCTGCTCAAATGAGCAATTACAACACTGCTGGAGGATTTAAATGAATCAACTTAATCACTCTTCTTATTATCATTGCAATTAATTGCTGGATTTCTAAGGCAGCATCACTTTGTTACTCAGTGACTCTTCACCTTCTTCATTTACTCATCTGGTGTAAATTAAACACAGCTTGGGGAGCTGCCTATTCTTAAGCATTCTTTGTTATGCAGTGTTCATCATTTCAAGGTTTGAAATGTAAAGTACACGTTAGAATCAATTAGAATGACAAATGAATCATGAGAAAATCTAATGGCATGAAACAAATTTGAAAGCTTAAACAATTTCCAATTTTCACTTACATTGTACATAGCTGATGTAGCTCACCTTGCCAAATGGCACCATTAGCATTTAGACTTCTGAGGAGCACCACATGCAGTGAAAGGATATTTATTACTGCATGCACCTGGAGGGAAAATGAAGGCTAAGAAAGGTGGGACAGTTCTGGATGAGATGTGCAATTGCCTTAATCCAGACTCAGGGATTAAGGAGGTCACCCCTGTATGGCTGGAGCTGTTCCCTCCCTGGTAAGGCATGTACAAACCAAAATTTCTATGTAAATCCATCACAGACAAGCAAAGAAACAGCACCATTGTCTCTCTTCACCTTTTCATCTGTGAACAGACTTTCCAGACTCAGCAGGACAAGCTAGGGAATTTTTTGGGGTGCAGGTCTCAGATCAGAAGAGGGAGATGTGTTGGTTTGCTACAACAAGGAGTCAAAAGTCTTTTTATTTCAAGAGATATTTGAGAAGAGAACAAGGGAGGTGATATGGAAGTAAGTTAAGTGGAAAGGCGAGAACAAAGGAAGCAGAGAAAATGGTAATGATTTACAGATAAGCCTGTAAAACATTAAACATTAGTTTAGTGCATAACAGAATCTAGTATTCAATCATCTGGGCACAGGTATGGAAGAGGGAGGAGAAGCAAAGAATAGAATAAACACAGAAAGGAGGACTGAAACATTAATGGGACTGGGATGGGGAAGGAATGAATGCCAAAAAAATAGTTCAAGGAAAGCAACCAGGGACTGCACTGCTGAGGTCAGACAGGCAAACATGGATTTAGCATAGTCTGAGGGGTTTTTCTGCTGCTGTAATTGAAAGCAGCTCTTTTTATCAGTTATACTACCAAGCTGTGGCAAAACATAAATACCCACAGATATAAGCAGATACGACAAGACACATGCATTAAACAAAGGACAGTTATGGTAATTTTTAAACTTTCAGGACACCTGAAAGCACCTGTCAAAGTGAATTTGCTCAGGGGTCAGTAGCAGTGATGAACAAACCTGGCCAAGTTTAGATACAAGTTATTAACTTTGATGGAGAGCAGAAAAATGATGCTGTGAATTTTCATGCTTGTGCAGCTCCTGTTCACTCACTTTCAAGAGGTTCTCTTGCTGGCAGAAACCTGCAAACATGCATAGAATTCACTTCTCTTCCAAAAATGGAAGATATCTGTTCTTTCCAGACAGGTACCAAGAAATCCAGCATGAAGAAATAGTCTAAAAAAAAAAAACCCAAAAACGGACAGAGGTGTTTATTAATGTTCCCTTAGCATAGCAATATTGCACAAATACCCTGCAGGACAGTGTGCAAGCTTCTGGGAGCACATTAAACCTTGGTTCTTCCAACTTTGCAAGCTATTGCTTAAAGGCAATATCCCCAGCAGCCAAGTGAGGCTGAACATCTGGGCAATGGATAGCTGATTCCGAGGTGGAGCCTGCAGCCAGGGCTGCAGGACACTGGAGAAATGGCAGATGACATTTTCATGCTCTGCTTCTGTACTGCTCCTTCCTGCCCCCGGAGGGGCTGCATGGTTAGCAGACCAGAAAGGCTGTGTCTGAATGGATTGTCTGAACATTTTTTTTTGAATGAGGACTTCCAGATCAATACCAGACCATCAGCACTCCAACTGGTCCTGTGCATCTTCTGGAGCAAACAAACAGAGCAAGAGAAATCACAAGGACATTTTTTTATGCAGAGTTTAACTGCCATATAGAAAACATACAATAAAATTGCACTCTGCTTCCCCTTTCTGTGAATTAATCAAACTGTAACTACTTTTGGTAAAGCTTTCATGGCCACAAGTCCAAGACTGTGTGTCTAACACATAGAAATGCTTTGCCTCCACTGTACAAATGAGCTCTCTTTGAAGAACTGTGAGCAGAGTTTGGCAAGGAACCTGATGTGTTGGTCTAGTGTTTGTGCCCACATAACTCTGCATCATTAGAAATGATAATATTTTGCTGTAGAAATAGGAAAGTTGGACAAAGAAAGCTCCTGCTCAAAAAAAAAATTGCTAAATGAAAAATCTAACTCAATGACCTTCAGTTCCAAATGGCAGCTTCAGGAAAAACTTTGAAATAACTGCAGATTTTTTCTAATTTTTGTTACTGCACTCATTCTGTGTTAAGATACCCTCTAAGCTTTATATGATCTTCTTGGCATAACAACATACCTGACTTGTCCCCATACCCAATACATATTTGAGTCCATACCCCATTGCCCTGTTGTCACACAAGCTCATTTCTTCCTAGTAATGACAAATGAGTATGATGAAAAATATGAACAAACATACAACACCAAGCAAATATGATTTTGGAAGTTATTTATTTTTGTGGTTTTGCTGCATTTTCTTTCAGTTTTTGTCATCAACTTTGTATAGTCTCTGTGGAGATGAGCATGAAAACTCTTATATTTTTTTTTTTAATTGCTGCTTTTACTTTCAGTTTGTATTACCTTTTTTCTCCCTCTGCTTGTATGTTTGGCTCTGTCACACAACTTCTGCAGAGAACTGAGAACAACCAACCAGCCAGTAAAACAGTGACACCCTGGAGAACCTGCAGCCTTCCCTGGCAATTATATGAAAGGCAATTTGAAGATTCTCCAAGCCACATGGAAAACGAGTTATCCCAGAAATAACTTGTCTATTCATTATTAAAAGCATTTCTGCCTCTTTGTACCTTGCACTACTGAAGCCTGTTACTTATATAGCAAGCAGAAGTCAAAAATTTAACTTACTAAGCTTCAGACTCAAGAATGCAGATAATCTGAGATGTTCAAAAGGATTTTGCTTTTATGGAAGATGACATTGGAACAACATATTTCTTCAAAGTTAGCATCATATGTCATTGCTGTAGTTTGCTGTATGTGAATTCCTGTAAATATGTCTGTCTCTGCATGCAGGAGAATTTTTGTGTAAATGTCCATGTTTAGGGTTGTTATGACTCTTTTTTCACATCTCTGCAAATGCCTCTTCCTGTTCTGCCCCTTGTAACCTTGCAAATTTTACCCTGAGGTTCCAGTGGCAGAAATCAGGTGATTTATGAGAAACAATTTTTCTCCTGCCAGCTTGCATCCCTTGTGCTGTGGAGCAGCCAGGGCACTCAATGGCCACCCAAGAGGTTGGCATGAGCCAGGGCAAAGAGGGGAGGGCTGCCACTCACTGGCCTCAAACGAGCACCTGAAATCCTTCACTGCACGAGCAGAGAAGCAGGATTTTGTATAAAAGGTCTCAAAAGTAGGACCTGGAATTTCAACAGGGTTGATTCCATAGAGAATCATAGATTTTGTCAGGTTTTGTGTTTCTGACAGGGATAGCTGAATCATATGGATTAGAAAGCTTTAAATCTATGCTTGTTTTCTAGTAAATATCTGATTAAACTACTGAGAAAGCCAGGGGGAAAGGATTAATAAAGCTACTTAGTACTGTCAGCTTTCATAATAAGATAAAGGGAATTTCAAGGACCAATGGAATAAAATAAATGGAAGAAAGATAACATACAAATAGCAAAAGTAGCCGACTACATATTCACTCAAGTATTGAAGGTATTTTAGAGGTGAATTTTGCACTGTTGGTTGGAAATTTAAGTGTCTGATTGACTGACTGATATTTGTTTGAATCAGAAAAGTCTCAAGGCATTTGTTTGAGTTACTCAGAAAGTAAAACCTTTTCCAAGCTCATTAAACAGCACAGAGCAGATCATCATTTCCCCTTCTCTAATTCAGAGTTTCTGATCATTGGTCAGCTACAAAGACCTGGTCTCAGCAGGACCCAAAATTTCTAAATAATCTTCTCATGTGTGACCCTAATGATGACAGTACTACCTTTCAAAACAGAATTTGCACGCTGTCTCTCCTTGTAATTAATTTGATCCTGCTGCCTGTGGCCTTGTTTTCAATGTTTTAAGTCTTTATCCAAAGGAGTGTTACACACACCACGTGAGTTTTACATAGCTGCAGCAACACTGTTCCTGTTCTGGAAAGTTTTTGCCTCCACACCCCCTGTATGAAAATCTGAGTTAATTTACAGCTTCCAAATGAACCTGATGGACTTTGCACTGCATTTTAGATTGAATTTTGCCAGCACAAAGTTTGGCCTTCAGTGTTGAATTACTCCAATTTCAATCCAAATAGAAGTTCCAGTCTGTTGCTCTGAGAGTTTGCCTTTTTTTTTTTTTTTTTTTTTTTTTTTTTTTTTTTTTTTTTTTTTTTTTTTTTTTTTTTTTTTTTTTTTTTTTTNTTTTTTTTTTTTTTTTTTTTTTTTTTTTTTTTTTTTTTTTTTTTTTTTTTTTTTTTTTTTTTTTTTTTTTTTTTTTTTTTTTTTTTTTTTTTTTTTTTTTTTTTTTTGCGAGTCATTAGATCATCATGAGATTAGTGGCATTTTCTGGGGTTTATAAGAAAATCCCTAGAAAGTTTAACTGCTCTTATATCTTCTGAATGAGATAAAGAACAGCCTGCTTATTATCTTTGTATTGTCTATTCCCTGGCATGACCTTATCTCATGCTGCTACAAGAAAATATTTATTGATATTATTTCCAAGTCTACTCTTTTCTCAGGCCTAAACAGAAGTTCTATAGCTTTCAAGCATCCAGTAAAAGTGTGTAGGTAGTAAGAAATACTCAATATTGTGAGATACAATGCTTGATGAAACTTTCCAATAAACTAAGGTTTCACAGGTAGGTTTTTGATGTGACAGACAGAGAGGGTTTCTGAACTGATTGGAAGGCAAACCAAGGTTTGATTCCAGGGAACAGCCCTATTTTATGTACTAGCCAGAAGCCTTTGCAGTCTGATCAACAACTTTAGGCTGATGTAGACCTGCTGGTTCTCTAATGCAGTCTGCTTAACACTTCTGAATTTAATTTCAGAAAACAGAGTGAATTTGCATGGGTGGGGGGATGTGCTATTTAATTTCCCATGTGTAGGAAAAGGCAGATTTCCCTGTGGTGCCTCTCCTGTGCAGAGCAGTGCTGAGCACTGTCCCAGCACAGCACAGAAATTACAGGGCTCAGCAGGGCAAGGGAGGAGGGTCTGGCTCAGCCACACAGGACACCTTGTGACAAGGTGTCTAAATCACAGCAATTCCTGAGACCAGCAGAGCCCAGATGAATGTCAGGTGTGAGATTTATAGGAACTCCTCATAATCCTGCAGCAACAAACCTTTTGGAGAGCACAGCTGTGAAGGGGGAAGGTGATGGAGGGAAGAAAAGCTGAAGAACAGATATGTCCTTGTAGGAACAGTAGGGAAAGGGAGAAAAGAGAGCATTCTTCCTTTCATATGGATTTATTCTTCATTCTAAATATGTTATATTTCCCTCCAGAAGTCATTCTCCACAGTTTCTTTAAATTTCTAGCTAGGGAACTGCTCTTTCCACTGGTAGTTTTTCAGGCAAATGAAATCAAGTTGCAGCCTAGATCAGCCCTAGGCTGTGTCTTCACCACCAATATTCTACTGTCAAAGCAACCAAACTATTCTTCAGAGGAAAGTTCTTTTTGCAGCAAACTTCTCCTCCTCTAAAGAATTCCCCAACAGAGCAGGAGAACATATTTTTCCTGCTTCACGTGATCCTCACACAAAGGAAAAAGAGGCACAGAACAGTGAATTTCATTTGTGCCTGTTATGTAGCCTCAATAAGCTGGAAATCCCTAGTTATTTTCAGGTTGGAACAACCTACTTTTCTCAACTCCTTGTTATGAATTCTGTTTGGAAACCTTCCCAAAAGAATTTAGGCAGAAGAAGATTAAATGTGCCATCTTCATGACTTCCCTATTTCACCCATGGCAGTCTGACACATGAGAAAGGACCCCAATACCATTGCAGAGAGTCACTGAATAAAAAGGATGCTCACATGAACAGAAAGTTCACACACATTTCTGACTTCAGGGCTGGGGCCATATTTTGTAAAAAGTCTTTCCAAACATGCCACAACACAATTGGAATTGGCAGGTAAAGAAATAAGAAAATGAAAGAGAAATTACCTCCAGTGAAGAATACATACCTTTGTGTCTTGACACTCTTCCCATGGATCTGGTTATCTGATACTCAGAACTATTCTGTCTGTACCACTTCGAGAATATTCTTGGTAATGTCAGGGGCTCTAACACAGGCAGGGTAAAACACCTTACAGGAGTCCTAGGCTAGAAAAAAGGAAAAATATTACTTGGAGTTTATAGCTCAAATATAAAAGCAGTTAAAACTGAAACAACTCTTGAAAGGAAGAGAAGAAACTGCACAGGTTCTTGTGGCCACCAGCCAGAGCACCTTTTGCACCCACCCAGAATGGCCAGAGCAGTGAACTACACTTGACTCCAGCTGCAGATGATGCCCATTGCTTCTGAAGGAGAATTTTCTGCTGCCTCTCTGGTAAGGCAGGTTCAGCCATGCAAGTGATAACAGAACTGTCCTGGAGAGCAGAGACTGCTGGATCAGGCAGCTTTCCTTGCTAAAAAGACAGACAAGGAGTTCATTTGGATTGTAAACTTGCTTTTGTTCTTACTTTCCAGGACCTCTGTTTACAGAGGAAATGTGGACTCGCTTCTGTCTCTACAGAATCTAAAAAGTTCCCAACATTTTGATACCACAGTTCCTAGTTTGTCAGAAAAGGCAGATGGAGATGGAATAATGAAAAAAATCTTTCCACCAATTCCTTGTGAGGTTATTCAAATAAGATCACTGGAACAGCAAGAAACATCTTGAAAATAGGTATGCCATTAAAGAACCCCTAGGTTTCATTATGCAGCTTACATCTGAGTGAGCACCACTTCCTTTTATAACTTCCCTGATATTTGAAAAAAAAAAAAAAAAAACAACTGCACTATCCTGCAAAAAATAATATGAAATACAGTACATTTTATCCAGTAAACATGCAGAACAAAAGCATCAATGCAACAGCATCACCATTTTCCAAGCTTGGAGCACAGCTGAAGGTTCTTTATCATTCTATCTGTAGTGCTTACACCTGTGAGAAGCACAACCTGATGAATAAGGATGTGATAATGTTACAGAAACCTGCAGATAGCAGAGCAGCTCCTCTGACATCTAATTTATTCTATGTGGCTCAATCATTATTCCTTATTTCTGTGCTGCAAGATTTCACAGAATATTCTGAGTTGGAAGGGAGCCACAAGGATCATCAAGTCCAACTGTAAAGTGAATGGCCTGTACAGGGATCAAACTTATGCCCTTGGTGTCATCAGCACCGTGCCCTGACCTGCTGAGCTCTTCTCAGGGTTTTACTGAATATTGTACCACAGTTTGCAATTAAAATAAACCAATTACTACAAGCTGAACTTGGCACACCAGAAAACAAATTCCAGTCTGGGGAAAAGATTCTGGGATCCTCTTTATCTTAACACAGAGTTCACAGTTTCACTTTCCCCTTCTGAAATTCAGTTCTCATAAGCAGCATCTCTGTATTTCCTGCTTTATTATGTGCTGCTCTTTCCATGCACAGATGACCAACCACAACGGGTGTTTAGACAATCCCTGAGTGACATTTCTCTATAAGTGAATTCTCAGATTCTCTCAGTGCCTCTGAACAGCGAGAGGAAAGGTCCCGCCCTCCTTGGGTAGTAGGTTTTACACACAAAAAAGTTAAAGCTGGGTGGAAAATACAATTTTCTTCTTGTACAAAAGTTAAAGTTTTAGAAAGTTATCCAACTCTGAAACATGAGTAT